ACACCCGCGGTTCCTCGCGCCTTGCCGACCCCCGCGGCCTTCCTTCTTCCTACGCATGACGATGTGTCGCTCACGTCCGGCGTCCTGGTACCGCGTCTCCGTTTAACGTCTCGGCCCCTCGACCTCTTGCGCGCATCACGGCACGATGCGCGCCATACGCCCGATAGTCGGTCCTCCTCGATCCCTTTGTCTCCTGACGGCCATGGGTCCCAACCGTCCAACCCGATACAGTCTCCTGCTCGCCATATCCATCCATCTTCCATACCTAGCCTTCCCCGCCGTTCGAACTCCGTGTGCCACGCCCGTTTCTTCCTCGTGCACGGCCCACAACATTGACTCGCCTTTTGTGCCTTTGCTTTCCGTCGTCTTTTGGCCCGGCACTTCTTAACCTTCAACTCGGCCTGCGGACCACATCCCCTTGGCCAATTTCGTACGCATGATGGTCGAGATATTGGACTTGATGGCTCTTCCAACATGTTCTCTAGCCATAAAACAAGATCATCGTCCTCTTCCTCGTCGGACTCGCCGGGGTTGATGACCACTTCCGTATCATCCGCCACTCCGCATTCTGCTAGGAGTATGGTCTCGCGCATCGCTCGTGCTCCCCCATCCAGCGTATCGCGCGCGCTTTCATCCCCGGCTGCCTCCTCGCGCGCGTGCTTTCCCACCATTCCGCACACCTCGAGGTATGAGGATGTGCGTGCTTCCTCGCCACACGAACCTTCCGCGATCGCGCTGGCCAACACCGCGGCCTGCGCGTCCTGCCCACTTTCGCCATGCACGCCATCCGTGCGCACCGACCGCATATCCGTGCGCGGCCCATTCTTGCCTGTTAGTGCGCGTACTTCTGCCGTCAACTGTGCTTGTCTCCTGCGTGCATGGTAGGCTCGACTTGCAGCGTTCTTGAGCTGCCTAGCCACTTCCGCATCAGCACGCCAGTGTGCGCGGTCGTCCACGACTGTGCTCAGTTGAGTCCAGCAAGGCCCGGTGGCATCCAGGTCGTGCAATTCCATGCCAGTGACCGCGCCGGGCATCGGCGGGCCCAGCGCGGAATTGAGCTGGTTGACCCAGACCAGTGGCCGACCGCCCGGCCACAGCGAGCCGGCGGTCCGGCCAACCAGTGAACCATCCAGTTCAGACCGGTTATTTCTAAGTCCAATATTAATTTGGTCCGGTCCAATTTATGTCAGATATTCCAGTTAAGTTCCAGGTCCAGTCAGTCAGTTCAATGAAATTAGTCAAATTATCAGTTCAGTCAGTCCAGTCTAGTAATTCCAGTTAAGTTCAGTTTCAAGTCAGTCAGTTCAGTAATCCAGTCAAGTTAACAGTCCAACCAGTTCAGTTCAATAATATCAGTTAAGTTCAAGGTCAGTAAATCATGTCAGTAAGCAGTGTCAGTTACTCCAGTTAAGTCATGTCAGTTCTGTCGAGCATCTTAACTGCTATTTTAATAAGTCTGAGCATAGTACTTAGTATTTGTTTATATATGTCACAGTTTGCAGATGATCAGCACTTACATTTTCAGACCAGCAGTTCAGGTGGGGACTCAGACTGGGTATTACATTGATTATAATTATTCTACCATGTTTGAGGTATGTATTATCAGTATCCGCTCGGAATGGTCGTCGGTCCATTCTGGGTTCTAGTGGCCTTAGTCTGCTCACTAGTGTGTGCACATGGTGCCCGACATTTATGCTGGTAGATGTTCAGGTATCAGGCAGGTGATGATTATCTCACCATCAGTATCAGATCATGATTATTCAGTACCGGTATCAGTTTCAGTTTCAGTTCAGTTCAGTTCAGTTATATATGCCAGGATCATGATATTGTTATTATTTTCACTGTTTACTTCAATATGAGTTTCTGATGAGCACAGTGGATTTAGTGCTCACGCTCCACATTTTCATGTTTTTCAGGTAACAGAGTCGGAGCCGAGGAGTTAGCTGGCGGCCGGTTCAGGACTTTTAATCATGTGTTTAAAAATATTTTAATAACGCTACATGTTTCCGCTGTTTATGACTATTTGACGAACTTAGCTTTTGATCCGACTTTCAGTCGGTTACTATGTTACAATAAACCGTTTAGTTTTTCTTTAAAAACTAAAATAACGGTTTTTCAGGTAAAGTCATGTTTTATGGTAGCACTCCGAATCAGTATTTCGCAAAGCACTCCGAATCAGTATTTCGCAAATGAAATGTTTTATTTTGAAAACTTTGCGAAAAACGCGCTCTGATTTTCATGTCAAGGTGGGGTGTTACAGTCCGGGCACGGGAAATTATACGGTTCTCAGTTCTCGAAAGAAGTGGCTGAAATTGGGCTGGGACACGCCGTACATAGCGGGACGGCTTGCTCGGGCTGAAAAGAGACAGTAAAACGCTTGACGTATCTCTGTCCAGCCTTTCTCGGCTAAATTCTCTACTTGCTGGAAAGAAATCTCACGTCACAAAAGGACGCCTCGAGTACCGCTAACAAATGCACAGCCGCTGAATGCTCTTGGCTTGGCGAACGAATGTGAAACGGGACTCACCTCGGCTCAAGGTTGCTGTCTAGGTGGCTCGAACGACGACAACCGTCATCACCTCAGGCCAACGTGATATCGAACAACCCGAACCTGCTGCTCGAAGTGATCTCCCGCCTAAAACACGCGACTAAGGGCTAGGTGACCCCTCGACGTGAACGGAACAGTAAGGGGCCTGCCGGTGGTGCTCAGCATCCACAGACAGCGGTGGAAGATTGAAGGCCTGACGGCACGCGGGTTCAGTGATCGGGCCAAGGAACGACGGGGTAACGAGCTATGGCGATGGTTCACGCTCAGGGGTGGGGGGCTCGCCGGCGATGGAGGTCTACAGGTTGCGCCGGGACAGAGAACGGGGAGACGACCTGACAACGGTGGGCAGCTCGCGGTCGGGTAGTGGGACGGTGGTGTTGGACTGAACTCGCTGGAGAAACATAATCGCAGCGATGGCAGAAAGGCAGCGTTTTCGAGGTAACGCCGGCAGGGCAGCGACGAGGAGGCGAAGGTGATTGCTGGGTTACGATCTGGAACAATTGGGGCGATTTTGTTTCTGGTTTTTCACATACGAGGGTGAGATATTTTTTCCTTTCTGAATGCGATCGCGAGAGGGATGGAAGCTGCAATCGTTATTCTTTTTTTCTTTCTTTTTTTTTTAACTGCAAGAGAGAGAGAGAAAGAGTTCGACAGAGTGAGATATGGGATGTCTGCGCGAGGAATGATCAGATGAGGGAGAATCTTACGCTTAATAACCCTAAGTTATCATATTCTTGTTCTCCAAGCCAAAGAGAAAAACAGGCCGGCTTCTCGATTTAATAATAACATTAGTTGTACTATCCCGTCAGTTTAATAATATAAATCATGTTTTAGTTCTGATATAATAACGTTGTCGATTATTATTTTTGAAATTAGATATTTTCAGTCGAGATTACCCGAAATTATTTTTGACGTCCCGTTTACGTTCGGAATAATTTTGGTAATTAAGTATTATGCTTAATAATTAATTAAGCATAAAAGGTGATTAAAGTATAATTAACCACGGCTTTAAAGAGTAAAAGCCGTAGCACTTAAGCAATTTTGTTCATTTTTCCCTCAAATTGCCGAAGCATTCTTAAGGCATAAGAAACAAATTTGTTTCCTTCTCCTTAAGTATTATACGTGGCATTTTTAGAAGAGCTAAGTGGTGATTCATCAAATTAAGCCTATCAAAGTGTAGCAAGTGGCAAAGTTGGGGGAAACCACATAAGTCCGACATCACTCCATTTTCCCTCTCGGTTTAGTATAAAAAGGGGGTGTTGGGCTGATTTTCCATCACTTTCCTAAGCCTATACATATTACTTCAGCACCATATATGTATTATTAACTATAGAGAGTTGGAGAAACGTGAGTGTTCTTCCAAGCTTAACACCGTACGCGAGCTAGTACGCGCAATGCGCTGCACCCCACGTCGGGATTTCGAGAGGGACGTGAACTTGTGAGCTAGTTAAGGAGGTAATCCTCTTATAAGATTCTCATAGTTATGTTGCTTCATTTCAGTTTAGTTAAGTTCATGCGTTTGAGTTAAGTTTTATGTTCAGTTGAGTTTGAATTGCCGAGAGAAAACCGATTTTGGTCGTAGTACGGCCTAACGCCGTCGGTGGCGCACGGGAGCCCGCCACGGCCATGTTTCACCTTTTGTACAAAAATTCATGTTTTAAGTTATTTCAGCATGTATGATCATTTCAGGTCAG